TTGCAACAAAATTGCTAGACGAGGCAGAACCATCTAATAACCATAGCCATCCTGGTTCATCCTTTCACCACAAGTATCAAGTGGAAGACAGTCGCAGTCCTGAGGTTTGAGTTTTGGAACAAAATCCTATAATGTGCCCTCGGTAAAATACGTTTTTAAACACACCATTCTATATCATTAAATTTGGGGTTTTTCTACCATTTTTAATTTTGGAATCCTTGAGAATCAGAGGATGGTTCCTCTCTTACTTAGCGTGTAAATCAGCCAGTGATTTCATCTTCTCCTCCTGTGAAAGTCGCATCAGCTTCTCCAGTTCCTCTTGTTTCTACGTGAAAAAAGGCACGAAAAAAGAAACATTTCGAAAGTGACAGAAGACAAAAATATAGAGAACAAAAAATGGGTAAAACACTTTAAGATGCTAAAATACACAGAACTAGGACGAGTGGAACATGATAAATTATATTTTCTAATGCATGGTGATTTGATGTGCAAGAGACCAACAGAAAATGTACGAATGAGTTATTTACGAACGATCCGTAACCCTTTGACTCGCTAAGAATTTCTAGCATCTAATTTCTCTTTACAATATCACCTCTGAATCACACATTAAGGTCACGAGAATAGGAAAAATGATCACCAAATAGAAAAGCTCTTGAGTGTTAAACAAAATCTCTTTACAGCACCTTAGCAAATCTAAAGAGGACACTAAGGAGAATATGCACACAAATATTAGGATGTGAAGGGTCAATAAAGTGAATGAGCTTGAATTCATCCTTACAGGAAGAAGTTGCTTCTCGGCGAGCTCCAACTGTTCATTCAGCTGCCTTTTCAGCAGGTCAACCATAGAGTCACGATGTTGACGTTTAAGGGTATTGATCTGAAAAAAAAGCACCCTGAATTACTTTTAGTTTGGCACAGGTGGAGCAAAATTTGTTCCGTGCCTCAGGTAAGTTATGCTAACACTACTTCAACGCCCTACCTTGAAAGGAAGCAAAATAATGAACGATTAGTGCATTTTTGAAACAAAAAGAAGTCAAACTGAGTGAAACTCTGACCAAAGCACGTATGTTCAAAGATGATCGTCAAACTTGGTGCCGTGGCAAGCAGCATAGATGCAATATAGAACTTGAGATGTGGGCTGAGATGCAAGTGCCAAGGTGACCACTATAACATTTGCAATTAAGGCAAGAGACAAAGTATCGTGTCTTATTTAAGTACAACGCTATTGTGGGTAAACCAAAATAATTTCCTCCAGCTGGTTGATGGAGCGAGAGCTTTGTATTTTTGATCTAATGACCTCGTCAGTGGTCACTGTCATCTAGAATTTAATGTTTCTTTGATCTGTTGGGTTCTCCAATCATTGGTAACAGCAAGTTTTCATATTTGATTGATTTTGTAGCCTAATACAAACACAGGCGGTTGAATTTTCTTTCTAGCAAACATCAACAAAACTGATTGGAAGTGTCTTCACCGTCTGCTTCAATTCCGCGAATCTGGTTGGCTTCTTTAATAAGTTCACAAAAAAAAATTGTAAATTTGGTCTCTTTTCTCATTATGGCATACTACAACTATGCGAATCTGATTGGCTCTCTTATCATGATATATCACAACTGCGAATCTGATTGGTATTCTCATGATGGTATATCATAAACCTGCAAATTTGTCTGGTTTTCTAAGGGCTTCGACAGACGAGAAATAGTGATCGACAGTTAATACTATGAAATCTTAGATTACTAGCATATTAAGTTTTTTTTTCTTTTCATGAGGTCAACAGCAAAAGAAAAAGTAAATAAAAAACGTTTCAACCCTTCTTTAGTAATTCTCTCGTTGATAGAGACTGAAGCAGGGTGGAAACGTAGTTATGCCTAAAACAACAACAAAAACAAAAACAACAAACATACAGATAAAAGTTTTAACAGATAAAAAGGTACAGGCTATCGATCAGAATTTTCACAGCTGTCGAAGCCCGCGTATGGATAGCGCCTTTAAAGGCGAGTACGTACGATTGTATCCTTGTCAACACCGCCTGGCTGTACCTAAGAGTTCCAAGAAAACAAACCACAGCAGTTCCACGTGAAAATCACATATCTTTGACACGCTACAGAATTTAGCTCCAACTGTGCAAGTTATGCTTTGCGGTGCAACTCATTTGTTACTGCTGTGCTGTTTTCTTAGCCACTTTTCAGTCTTGCAATGTTGTGCTTGCAATTACCTTATTAAAAATTACATTTGAGAATTACGAGAGTTGAAAAACGTGTTTTCGATGCTAAAGCACAATTTAAGTTTTAACCTAACGGTGCAATTAAGAATAATGTAATAAGTAATCTACGAACATTACCCGAGTGACGTGTGGTTTACACTACAGAGTTATAATCAGTGACTGGAATTAAGTTTAAGAAAGATGTTTCACGCGAAGTACAGGGAAGGAAAAAGTTACGAGTCGTGGATGTCATGCAAATTAAAAGCTTAATACTAGTAATATAGCTAAAAATTTAAAAATAATAAAAGTTACAGAGTATGATCACAATACCGAGAGGAGTCAACAAACCCTGGGAAAAATGAAACCTCACATTTTCTGAGTATTACCAGGAAAGTTTAGGGACATATGAAGGGAAACGTAATAATTATGAGTAATCGAGGACAAATAGGGGACATTCTAAGAATTTATAGGATTTTTTTTTTTTAAGGAAGACGTACTTAAGAAATTCTACGTAATATTGGCCGTTTTTATGCTAGAGACGTTAAAGTTGTCTAAGACGTTAAAGTCGTCTCGAGACGACTTTAACATCTTAGACAACTTTAACGTCTCTAGCATAAAAACGTCCATTTTGAGGAACTGTGCCAGCTATGCTTTGCTACAAGAATGTGTTTTGAGATTTGTACGATTGCGCCTTAGAATTATTGTGAAATTACGGAAATGTGTTTAGGAATGCTGGTAAACTTTAGGGATATCTCTTCAAACGTCAGGAGATTTTTAGGAACATTTCGAAATACTTCTTGGACAACAAACATTTCTGAGAATGCATACAAACATATCTAGAAATTACGGCTAATTTTGATAATAAATTCTACGAACGTTTAGGAATATTTACAAGAATATCACAAAGAATTTTTGTGAAATTTTAAGGGAAAATTTCGAGAAACGTCTGGGAAATTTCAATATCATACACTTGAACTGATTTTCTGATCAAGGGCATTGGATTTCTATGAAAAAATTCCAAGGAATATATATGATGCCTTAAAAGAAATATTTGAAACGGGGTGGGAGTATCTGATAACACTAAGTAGTATGTCTAGAAATTGTCAGAAAAATTTAATTTCATGATATATTCGTACGTTTGGTTATTTGCAAGACTAACTGGGGTAGTTTCTGAGACTTTCCAGGAAGTTCTAAGAACTTTTAGTAAATATCTTTCAATTTCTGAAACTTTTTGGGTATATGATTTGAAATTTATAATTTCCATGATTTTGTGTTTACTTGATCAACAGATATTTTGAAATCATTTCTCACAAATTATCTGAATTAATTCAAGATTACTTCAACTATTTTTCCTGTCAAATCCAATTTTGTTTTCATCATCCTTCTTTGCTGGGGTTTAATGGTTTCTTTACCTTAATTTCATGACTTTGAGCCAGGTTGTTCAGGCCTTCAACTCCCTTGCGGTAACTTTCTTCATAATTTCTGCAAAGGAGCCAACAGAACATAATTACCTAATAATAATAATAATAATAATAATAATAATAATAACGATAACAACAACAACAACAATAATAATATATAATGATAATAATACGAATAATTAACAACAACAATAATAAAAAATGCTAAATAATAACTGTTTTAGTATATACCACACAAATACCAAAAAATTGGTTTACATATTTCAATGCAATGAAAATTGGTCAGAAATTTAACTCCTGACCAGTGATTTAGTCTCATTTGCTGCTCGGAGGTGAATAGCATTTGCTTATCGCTTCCAAACCAGCCAATGAGCAAGCGCGAAATGCACTAGTCTCTATGTGTAGTATAAGTGGTATATACTAATAACAATCATTATAACAATGATAATAATAATACTACTTTCTTCGTATTTTCTATTCGACAAGTTGCTTACCCTTTCTTCTCGGCCTTCTTGAGTTCTTTGTCACTTTTTTTCTTGGAAGACACTTTCTCCTTATCTAGGTCTTTGATCGTCTTCTCCTGCTCCAGTAGGTGATTCTTTTGAAGTTTGTCTTTATCCTGAGTTAAAGAAAAACATCTTAGGCTAAATTCTTAGAATGGTTAATTTGGTATCACTCAACAATACACCCTTATAAACTTTTAAAGCTCTCTTACCTTCTCGTGTCTTTTGACCAAGATGTCCATTTCTTTCTGGTGTTTTTGGTTCAGTTTTAAAAATGGCTGACGAATAAAATAACTAGAAATGAGCTCCAAGGCAGAACAAACAGAAGAGGATTATAATAAGAAATAACGGACTAGGGTAAACAATAAGTTTCTTGTCCCTAATTTCAAATCATTTGGCAAATAAATATTGAAAATCCTGACTATATACAGAGAGAGGCCGGCAAAGAGTATTAAAGTGCATGCGACAACCCCTAAAGGTATTGTGGGTAGTTTTCAAATCACGGTTCCTTAAACTCAGGATTTCAGGGAAATCTGGGAAAGCATCACTGTGAGGACGATACATCGCGAGTTTGATGAGCTAATTCATTTAATTATTTATTTCAATTATTAACATTCATTACCAGATACTCAGATTACCTTTCGAGATAAATAGCTGTATATCTATCATGATAACTCTGAAAAGTGACGATTACAACAACAAGTTTCTTTCATACTGATGTATGACCGACTAGGAAGACGCATCTGTCAAGATGTCAAATGCTTCCTTTTGAAAAAAGAATCTGTTATTTTTCTGTAACTTTCTAGACTGGAGGATGATATGATGTGTGTTCTGGAAAACAACTTATAGATCACAAATCTCTATTTATTTTGGAGTATGTTCAATCATATTTACATGAAAAAGAACTGGCATTACAGAAAGTTGCTGTTCTCATGTACAAGGGAGAGAGATAACTCAGATCTTTGTTGAACTGCTTCATGATTTTCAACATCAAATGTCTCAAACCTGTCAAGAGGTGAAACTATTTTTGAAACGAATAGTAAAATTTTCTATTCAAAATACAAGATATTTCTCACCTTGCGCTCCTTCAGTTCTCTGACGGATGCAGGTTCTACTTTGGTGTCTGAAATTCAGTAAATTACCTCTCTCAGTGAAACAAAAATACATTTTATTAATCAAACATACCACACTAGAAAGAGCATTTGGGGGAACATAGAAGAAAACAGCTGAGAAACAAGCACTAAAGTAATGACAATTTCTAATACTGAGATTTAATTGTACGTTTTACAGTTGCATGCTTGGTTGCCAAGCCTTTGAACAGGAGTGAGGCTATGGGTGACCTTGCTACGATACAAATCTTGCTGTTTTTCAAATGGAAATTACTTTGTTATCACGCTAACTAGATACTGGTCTCTATCACAACAAGGTCACCTTCAGCCTCACTCCAAATCAAAGGCTTCGCAACTAAGCACATAACTGTAAAATGGCCTATTGAGGTTTCCGCTGGACATAAAGCAAACCCCGACGACGACAGCAACGAGAACTGCAATTTGGACGTGGCAATAACAATAGACCAATGGACAGAACAAGAGCTCCGCATGTGCGTTTTTAAACTTTTTACAGTTCTTGGTTGTTCTCTGCAAAATACCAATGTGAAATCACCAAAACTCGCGCGGTCTGAGAACGGAAACTTCCACGGCTAATCATTTGAGTTTCCATTGGCACCCAGTGCTCCTCCCACACGTTGGGCGGAAGTTGAGGTGTGGCTCCGAAAGAGACGATGAACACATCCAGGCATTCGCAAAATTTAATTAAAAATATTTATTCATTACTTAATCCCAGTCTTCCTTAGCGTTGCCGTCTTGACTGCTTAAGTCCCCTAACGTTGTCACACAATATATTTTAAAAAACACATTCTCCTATGCAAAAAGGTGCTCAATACATCTTTTAAAATGGATGACAAAGAGGGTGTCTGAAAATGACAGTGCTTGCCATCCCAGCTTCAAATAGTTTTAACCCTTCAACTCCCACAAGCGATCAACATGTAACTTCTCCCGATAGTATTCATACATTATCCAACAAACAGGTAATGAGAATTCTCAAACTTATCAAGTAGAAGTTGTCATCTTGATCTAACGCCAAATTCTCCTAACTAATTTACATGGAGATGTGAAACAGTTTGAGGGGAGAATTAACAATCAGATCTAGGGAATTAAAGGGTTAAAAAACAGAGACGAAGTGCAAGTGGCTGTGACTACGTATTGGTAGATCAGTAACGCCCTACCCGACCCTTACCATGGCAAATACAAATCCCCCCCCACCACCCTACCAATGGAGATTTTCTTAAAAACCTTAGCCCCCTTCCCACCCTCTACAAAGACCCCAGTTTTTCCAAGATTATTTGGCTGTAAAAGAATCGTTTTTTTCCCTTTTGGAACCCCTCAATATACTTCCTCCACAGATAGTAACATAAATCAGTTTTTTTGCTACTTAAGGATACGAAATTATCGTCACCTCTGTTTGAAAACCTTGCACAACAGTATAAATGATTGTTTCTACAAAGTACACAATTTTTGGTTGACAAAAAAAAAATTGAAATTTTATCTTATCCTGTTAGTTGTCATGCGAAACGATTGTTGCATTTAAGGCTGTATGTCGGTAAGGAACGAGAATCCTTCAAAAAGGCTCATTGTATAACAAATCTATCAATAATTATTCAACCTAACTGCAGCATTCAGTTTCAAAAAGATAAAGGCCAAGACATACTAAGGTAAAAGTCGTGGGGACATGTTGGAACAATTTGCAGGATTTCAAAATGGTTTCAATTGATATTATATTAAAAAAGATGACGTGAAAAGTTACAGATGGAATGGTGTGTTGCAGAGTAGTTTTGAAGCGACTTGCCAGTCAACCATACTTTGCAGATTAAGTGTGAATACAAAAAAACTTTCACTGTTTGCAATTACGCTATTCAAAGCCCGTTTTATCAAATTCTCATTTTGCATTATGGTCATTTACAAGGCTATCAAACGTTTACTGATTGTTATCATTTAGCGATTGTTAAAGAACCTGTTGATTCACTGAGACACAAGATCGTCTTATTTAGTATGGGCAGAGGTGGAAATCAAAGTAAGTCTATAATTTCATCTTAATATTTCATTATGTGTGTAAATGAAACACACAAGATTTCATGTTTTATCAACTTTAGTTTTGCAACATTCGTTTGAAATGCACTCTAATGGGTCACCTCTACCTACTTGTACGTATATAATTGAAAGGTTAACCAGTGACACCCGGAACCTTCCAGACAACAAACAGTCGATATGATTATTTTTAGCCAGAGTTCAACAAAAAGGTTACAAAAATGTTAACAAATTAAGTTACTGGAAGGTTAATCAGACTTTTAAATAAGTTTCATGTGATCAGTTATCATTATTTAAATGAACTTTCAAAGGGTAAATTAGAGACAGAAATTTCCAACCGAGTGTCGAAAGCAAAAACGAGATTACATTTGTTTTGCCTTACTACGCTATGTGATTGGTCCGGAAACTCGCGCCACTCTCTCAACCAATCAGATGCGAAACCAAAACAAATCACAACTTGGTCGCCCGCGTTTTCCCGCGCTTTGGGCAGTTTGGTTGTTTTTTCTCCGAGTTCTCATTGGCTCTTAAAGGTTTACGCTGTTGTGATTACTTTGGACACTCAATCGAAAAGCACTCTATATGTGGTACAGATGATAGTGAAAAACAAATTGGGTTATTCAAAAATAATGGGCACCTACAAAAATGTCGGAATGCCATGTTTTCTTCCCTTATACTACTCCCTGAAAACAAACATTATCCTGAATTTAGAATTTGAATAATATACTTGATATAAAACGGCAAGGGAAGGGCCATCATATCTTT